GAGATAGGTTTGAGTTTATCATGTCAAATCTTCATTGCTGCGATAATGACAATTTGGATATAAATGACAGGTATGCCAAAGTTAGGCCATTTTTTGATAGACTGAATCAAAATTTCCAAAGATTCGCGCCTTATTCTGAGACTCACAGTGTGGATGAATCCATGGTTCCCTATTTTGGGAAACATGGATGTAAGCAATTCATCAAGAATAAACCAATTCGCTATGGTTACAAGGTTTGGATGAGTGCCACAAGTAGCGGCTACTGTGTGTGGATTGAGCCTTATCAAGGAGCCAAAACAAAGCTAAAAGAACGATACAAATCGTTTGTTTTAGGTCCATCTGTTATTCTAGAATATGCCGACATACTCAAGATGCTTGGAAGTTTTCCCTACCATATATTTTTTGATAATTTTTTTACAACGGTTCCACTCTTGGATCAGCTGCAAAAGGACAATGTAAGAGCTACAGGAACTATCCAGGAAACCAGGATGTCAAAGTGTCCAATATTATCAAAAAACGAAATAAAGAAAAAGAAGAGAGGAGAATATGATTTTAGATCTACTCAGAACAAAGTAGTTATTGTCAAATGGCATGATAACAATGCAGTAAATGTTGCTTCCAATACTTCATCGGTGGAGCCATTACACCAAGTATCACAGTTTTCCCAAAAAGATAAGAAAAGGATCACTGTAGATCAGCCACACCCGTTACATATTTATAATAAGTTCATGGGAGGAGTAGATCGTTGCGACCAGAATGTAAGCCTCTACAGAACGTCAGTAAGAGGTAAAAAATGGTATTTTTGTCTAATTACGTATGGTCTAGAGTGTCTAGACATTTGCGAACAGAACGCATGGCAACTCCATAGACTACAAGGAGGTTCACTTGACAATCTATCGACTAGACGACAAATTACTTTAACGCTCTTGGAAACCAATCGATGTGCGAAAAAAAAGGGAAGACCTTTCGCGTTGGAGAACGTTGAATCAAGATTAGATAACCAAGATCACTTTCTTGTATCCCAACCCAAACAGACTCGATGTCGTGTATGTCACAAAAAAGTTCAGAAAAGATGTGAAAAATGTGACGTGGCTTTGCATATGGAGTGTTTTGTGAGCTATCATAGGTCTGAAAATTAGTTTGCTAATCAGTTACTTTAGAACTAGTATTTAGGTTTCTTATATAACACTCTACCTAGAGGTAGATTGTCCTTTTTTAAGGACACCCTAAAAGACAGATTGTAAATACTAAAAAATAAACGAAATGTGTTTTTCTTGACTTAAGGAAGGTAAATTTTTAACATTAAAGCAGTAATGTTGGAAAAACAAAAAAAAAATAACTTAGGCATATCTGGGTTAAATGTGCTGGAATTTTTGGTGACCATATTGCTGGCCCATTGTTTTTAGAAGGCAATTTAACCGGACAAATGTATCTGGAGCTTCTGAAAGATACTATTAATCCCATTCTCACTGATATTATTGAAAATGACCACAATTATCGGTAGGATATGTTAATATTTCAACAAGATGGGGCTCCTCCCCACTATGCTCTGTCTGTTCGGCAGTATTTAGATCATATTTTCCCAGATCACTGAATTGGGAGGGCGGGGCACTGTCGAATGGCCGCCACGATCACCAGACCTTTCACTGTTAGATTTCTTTCTGCGGGGTCATTTGAAAAGCAGAATTTACTGCATCACTAGAAGATTTACGGCAACGAATCGCAAATGAATGTCGTCAAATCACTCCACAATGTTCGAGAACGTTTCCAGCAGAATCTGCATTATTGACTTAACTCTGCCCTCATTGTTCATTCTCGAAACTGCCTGTCTAGTATATAAAAACAAAACACTTCACAAGTTCGCTGATGGAATCACCCGCCAGAGAAATGACATAAAACTTCCAATCCCAAAAACAAATTTAATAAAAAATTCATGCATATATAACGCTGCCAAAATATTCAATCATCTGCCAACAGAAATAAAACATTCTGAAACATATGCTGTGTTCAGAAAAAAATTGAGAAAACTTCTCTTCTGGATCTGGCTTTATATAGTATTACGGAATTTTTTGAGACAGTGTTCACTGACGTCTAACATCTGCTCAGTATGTTATATGTGTTATTTAATCTATTTATTTTAATACTTAGTTATCACCAATTGAAAATTAAATTAATTGATAGTCCTATATTTTATTGACAATATCATGTGAACCATGATATATAAAGTTTTATGAATGTCTACACTTTGTCGATAAGATTATTGTATCTTCAGACAATAAAGTATATTTATTATTATTATCATTATTATTATGGTAATGTTAATATTTTCAGTCTCTTGAATATATCTTTGCATGAATCAGTCTGTGAAAGCCCCGTCATATTATTGCATGGAAGCTGGAGGTGACCATTTTGAGCATATGCTAACATGAGAATGAAGTAAGTAACTTCAACTCTAAATTTAATATGGTTCGTCCGAATTAAAAAAAATGTACACCGTTGTTTAGAGAATTCCAAGATCTTTCAAACAATGTGCGACTCGCCCCCAGTTCCCTATTAAAATTCCAAGGGTTGTTCACCCCTCTGCTCCGGGGTTGAAGTGACGACGCTGTAAATGGGGAAAAAACTGTCCCCCTCCCAATAAAAATCGACCTGTCTGAGCGTTTTTTCGGATTTGCAAGATTAGTACCCACAACCTTCATGTCAAGTTTTCGATGGCCCACCCTGTATACAGTTGATACTTGGAGTGAATTAGAAACAATTATTCTGAATGATTTGAAAAATATTATACGGGGGTATAAAAATAACTTTTTACAATAAATTTTGATAAAACCGAATATCTTTTGTTCACTTCCTATGAAAACTCGTTACCTAAATTAGGCCCTCTCAAAATTACCAATAATAGCAAATTCTTGAACGTGACACCTAAATGGGAATATCAAATACATTATACCGTAAAAAAGTGCTAATGAGTTATCTATATATCTATAATAGAGAATATTCAAGTTGGTTTCTCCAATCTAAACGAATATCCGACTCAAACTACTCACCTTCAAACATCTTTGCGTTTTCCAACCAATCCAAAGAGGGCTCCTCGATGAAAACGTTCATGGTGGCCAACAAAGAGGCCCCGTTGACCCGCAATGCCTTCAAGCAATGCACCAAGCACTGCCTAAAGAGGCCCCGCTCTCCAAGAGGCTCCATCAGAGAGACGATGTGTGGCGTCAGCCTGAACGGCACCAATTCAGGCACTTCCTGTATCTGAGTACCTGTGCCAAAGGCGTGGCCAAAGTCGATACCGAGAACCTTGCCATTGCCCAGGCAGATCAGGGAATTGCCCAGGTGTCTATCGCCGATGCCCAGTAGCCAGTGAGTCGCGCATAAGGCAGCGTAGGTTTTTATGAAGTTGGCGCGCAGCGCTATGTAGTTTTCGGTGCTGGAGCTCAATGACCAGAAGGAGGTCCTGAATGAAATGGAAAGTGTAGAGATTGTTTTGTTTACTGCTCGTATGTTTATTCTACTAAAACTGGCACGTTATTCAATTGCACAAAAGAGATGGTGCTGATCAAATATCTGATTACAGAAATATTACTTTGTTTCCGAGCTTCAGTAAGATATTTTAATGAATTGTAAATGAGGAACTGTGAAATTTCTCAAGGATAAAGGCAACTTTCAGCAATGTGAGAGTTCGTTGATGATATTACTAAAGCATTGAACAATTGAAGATGAATTTCCACAAAATAAATAAGTCATCAATATCACAAATTAAAGCATTGAACCATGGAAAAGTAGCTATGGTATCATTTACTGACTTTACCACGGCCTAATATTGAAACTAGAGGGTATAATAGTATATAGGCTATGAGAGAACGGACTCAAAACTCAATGGTTTTCCTTATGAAGGTTCATTTTGCAAATTTTGCGACATTCAAGGTCATCCAAACTGATGGTTATACATTTTTATCAATCTTCAAAACATTATCTTCAATCGAAACAGACCTTTTTCCTATCAAAAATCCATTATCTTGAAAAATAAACCGATAACAATTTACTTCGAATGAAAGATCCATCTTTTAACGAAAACTGATTGATTACTGACGAATTTTTTGTACATTTAACCAACATAACTGAAAAACCTAACTGATATAACCAAAACCTTCACCGACATAACCAAAAACAAAACCAATTTAATCAAAAACATAATCAACATAACCAAATTGTCTCATATAAAAGCTGTTTTTGGTTTTGTTGGTTATACATACAAAAAATTCCTCAGTAAACAATCAGTTTTCGTGAAATCAACATGAATCTTCAACCTCAAGTAAATTGTTAATGAGCTTTTTTCCTGAGAATAGTACAGCGAACGTGTCACGAGAGGCAGCACTAGTAGTAGGGACAAACATAAACTATTCACATGTAAAACAGTGTTACGTAATATTACTTCATTATTTAAAAATATGAATCTGATATAAAAAAGTATTTTGTGCTAGTATAATGGCAACAAAGCATTGCTGTTTTGCGAATTGTACGTTTTTACACCGTTGATGAATTTCTGATTAGAAAAAAGTGTGTTTCGATTGAATACATTGTTTTGAAGATTGATGAAAATGTATAAAAGTTCCATCTCAGCCTTCAAATCAGTTTAGATGACCTTGAATGTCGCAAAATTTGCAAAGTGAACCTTCATAAGAAAAACCATGGGATTTTGAGTTCGTTCTTTCATAGCTCATTTACTTATAATTACCATGAAAAAATCTATACTAATATTTTGTGTTTGTGAGAATGGATAAATGTATGTATGTATGTTTTTGGCTCTTTCACGACTGAACAGATTAAGATGATACTTTACATAAATACAACTTATACGTCATCATAACATATAGGCTACAATTTACAAAGGTTTCGTGTAATTTTGGTCTGCGCTGTGTTAGTTGAGGAGGGGTGGACAAAATAACTTCGAACACCAAGCAGAATACTTCGGATAAAGAGATTTTATTCCCAGTCGTTTGGATCGTATGACAGAAATTTTTTGAAAATACGAGTAAGTTTCTATAAAATAAAAACCGGAACATAAATAATGTTTCTTACTTCTTGATATATATAGTACATACCTAGACCAGGCAGAAAAGTTCAATTTGAATCCCATTTTCAATTCCGGTAGGTTTCACAAAAACTTGTTTGCATTTCAAATACGCGAAATCTACTACGACGAATCCATTTTCAGATGTATCATACAGTGCTGAACGTTTTATCACAATACTTGTTTGAATAAAGAAATACATAGAAAGAGAATTTGAATTATACCAAGAAAGTCACTTACAGCGCCATCTACTCACGAATAGATCAAACAATAATGTCGAAACTTCTGTCGATGCAGATCCCAAGCATTTAAACGGGAATGAAATATCAAATGATAGATATAAACAAAAATGGTACAGGAGAAATAAATGATGACAAACGAAAACATTCATATTAGGTAAATTACGAGTGGTAGGTAAGTTACGCTACATAGTATTGCAAATTTCTTTATAGGTACATTTCAAACAGAATAAACCGTATGTTATGTCAACCGTGTTAGGAATCACACGTTAAAAGGTAAGACCTCTTTAATCCTTAGCTCGCACAAGTTTCGACTTCTGAGGGTTGTCGTTCGTAGGAGTGCGACAGCTGGTTAACGGAAAAAACAGATTTTAAACAAAACAGATTTATAATTATCTTTCTTAAAATCCAAGGGTTCAGTTATTTCATATACTGGATGAGTATGAAATCACCTTATTATCAACTTACCTAAGCAAATCACAGGGAATCTCGTGAACTAAACTTCTGTAAAACGCGATCACTTTATCCTTCTCTGTTCTAACTGCGTTGCTACCATACACTTGAAAGTAACTTTTTCCCTTGGGCAGAGCGTTTACGTACTTGGCGAACACTTTTTTGAAAGTTCCTTGATTTTTCATCGAATTACTCAAGAAGTCCTTCAGCTGTTGAGTGTTGTCGATCCACTGAATGATACCAAGGTTCGAGGTCAGCGGTACAACCTGATTATTCGAAACAAACACTCTATATTAGAAATGTTGAAGTAATAACTATAATGAAAATAATAGCCTGTATTGATCAAATACAAATATGTATTCAAATATATTGTGCATTTTCATTGCTCGATATCACAGCTTCCCCAGGTAACTTTCCCTAACAGATCTTTCAACTATATCCCCCAGTCATTTAGCAATTGAATAATTTCGCCTAATTTCAAAGTATTTACTACTCAAATACAGTCTTTGATATACGTAGGGACCAATAGTGGGCTCGGTGAGGTACCGTGGGGGATACCTCGGTAGTCCTAGCGGGACTTGCACAAGAACGTTTTTTATTCTATCTTTGGAGGAATACGACTGAGTTTGAGGTTGAATAGTGCTGTAGTTTCGAGATATAACTGTTAGTAGAAGATTTGAGCCGGTTCTAAGCCTCCTCCCCCCACTATGACGTCATTAATGACGACAAGTGGTGTGATTGGGGTGACCTAGACCGACTCGTGTGACTTTGAAAAATATACCTGGTGCATGTGACCTTGAAAAATATGTCTGATACATGTGACCTTGACAAATATGTCTGGTGCATAGCTGAAAATGGATGTGTACTAAGTACAAACTTGTACAGAATACACGCACGGTGAAGATATCCTTCATATGAAGAATATATTGCACACGAAGCATAATCCTTCACGGCGCATAATAATGCAAACTAGTTTTCATAGATGCACACACCAAGATTCACCGAGCACTACACCTCACATCTACACCTTCCATCCACGAATGAAGCCCGCACTGCTTTCTGTAAGCTCTTTTGAAATGATTTTTCCTTTGTCAATGAATTCAACATTTATTTTTCCCTTCATTTGATGTGCTACACGACGAGATTCAACTATTATTAACGAAGATGCTCAGTATAAATATCTACTCCAAATCTCAATATAAGTTCCTCCCGCGCCCAAGTCGTTTCAGGTTGTGAAACGTTTCAGAGTTATTATTATTATGATTGTCATTATTATTATTATTATTCAACCCTTATCTCCGAGTCCGATTTCATCTAATACGATGTTCAATCACTTCATCCTGATGGCCGAAGATCTTTCTTGCCAACCAGTTCGAATGACCTTGGAATGTTCGAAAATGACTGAAATTAAGCTCCATAAGAAAAAGTATAGGATTTAGTCCCAGAAGCGGCATTGCTTATTTACTTACTTGGACCTAATTTTTTTTATCCTTTCCGACAAACCTCTGATGAAGGAAAATACAAGTACTAGTTGTGACATTTGGTACATTCATATTGTTGTATTGTTACGTTTGAATTGTATTCACTCACCTCATATGTCAATACCTCTAAACCATTATTGGCACAACCCGTGTCGCTTTTGAAAATGTCGTTCATCATACCGAAAAGTTGCTGTATGCGCTGATCCTGACGAATATCTTCCCCGAACTTCAGCAAGAAAGGGTATTCTTTAGTATCCATGCCGAGCATGGTGATTTTGATCGGTCTGCGTAGCGAATCCATAACCTTAACCTAGAGTAACAAGAAAGCAATGAATATCACCATAGCTGTTACGTCGAGAACCTACGTTTGGGCAAAATCCTGAAATCTTTACGTGGTGTTGAGGAAGCGGCAACTTTTTCCCATCGTATTGGCCCGGTATTTCTAGCTCGACATTGAGTTTGTTGGCTGAGAAATTAGCCAACCATGGACAGTAGTCTTTGAGGAGAGAGGAATGCTTGTTCAACCTTAAGGGGTCCCTTAGTTTAGTCCTAGTTTTCTCCCAGTTTTTCTTTGCCACCGCAAGAGGAGTATCTAAAAAAAAAACTTCGAAACCAAAGCAATAATTCATTTTTGCAGAATTTTACCAGCAGGCTTCAAGAATTCCTTTTTGAACGTCTGAATTTCTTTGAACATATTTCCTTGCATGTTTTCGGGGTTCTTGGAACCACAAAGTTCTACGAAAAAGTCATCCTTCACGGAATTCTGAATGCTTTTGAATTCTTCCAAACTGTCAGCTTTCATCATTTTAGTAACATAATATCTCACGATTACGACAGGTAAGCTAACGTAAGACAAAGCCCTCAAAAATTTGTTCACCGCCTCGTCTTTCAGTAAAAGTTCGTCCAATCTGTGAAATAATATATAAATTGTAAGGAAATACCAGTTTTTCAATTAAACGAAATAAATAACATACCTATCTGTGAGTTTTTGAACTTCAGATTTGATGTTTTCATCATTAAATTTATAGTTCTCTTTGCTAAGCCTGTAAGGATACATGATGGCTTTGGGATAAGTTTCTGCGATTCTCTCGATTATTTTTGAAATTGCACAAATTTTTGGAGAGTCCACGTTAGCTAATAATTGGGGTATCCATCCCAAAAACATCCAAGTTGGAATTTTTTCACTCTAAAAATATATTTTTTTTACAGAACTTCTTATACTTGTACTCTGTATTTGTTCTTTTATGATTGTATAACATTTTTAATTCTGTAATTCATGTACATCAACTAGGTTATTACTGACAAAGCCTTGTATACAAAAAAATCACCTCAGTCTCAAATACTTTTACTCTTTGGCAACAGATTTTTCATTAGATTTCAAAGGGGGTTTTTCCCCTGCACATATATTTTCAGCTGTTTAACAGTTAATTTGAGTGGTACAATAGTCACCAAATATAATTAGAAATGAGAATAACCCCATTCCAAATCTCATCAACACACCATTTTTGTTTAGAGAGTCTCGTTACCAAAACAGATGAAGAAATCATATTTCACTATCGAAACAAAGTACATAAACATCTGACAGGATATACAGCTGTACACAACAAAATGCTCTGATTAATTTATGAATGTCGCTGACATGAGAAAGTCCCAGATTGAAACTTTCACAATATCTTCCTAAGTAAGCACTTTGTACATGATTACACATGAAAATCATTCTTTATGGTTATGACTATGACATTCATATTCAAGATGACACAGGGAGGTCAACCTGAGTATTTTAATGAATTCGTTATTTTGAATCATAACATCTACAATTATTCCACTAGAAATAGAGTAGATTCCCATATAAATAAAACGAATCTGACAATTGCTTCAAAGATTCACATTCCTATAATAGACTTCCACAAATGATAAAAAATGCAAGGATGGTAACAATGTTTAAACACAAACTATTTGAATACATCAGATATCAACCCAATGTTGTTTATTAGGCATACAATATTAGTGATTAGTTTTATATTCATGTGACACAGAAAAGTCCATACACATGAATACATTCATCTCGGAAGCTCACTCATAAAATACATTCTGGGAGATATTTGGTGGTCGAAATAAATTAACCTTCAAACAAATAAATATATGCGTGAATTAATTATCAATGGAAGAGTATGAAAGGTTTACAAATTCTACTCCTAGGTTCAAATTTTTTACATTTCCAATGCTAATCAGCTACGAATAAAAAATATCTTCTCATATGAAAACCAATCAAGTTGATGGTGGAATTTTTGTAATTATGTGCTCATTTCTCTGTGAAGTTGCTTGTTTTGTAGCAAAAATGATTGAATTAATAATGTAATTTAAATTTTACACAAGTATAACACAACCACAAACAAATATAAACTCGCATAAAATGAAAAATTCTTGTTTTTACACAAGAAATGTCCTCTAAACATTCATAACATGAAAACCTCTTGTTACACAAGAAAGACCCTCATTACATACCAAAAATTCAGTCTGAAATTCAAAACAAGAATATTGAAATACTTCTGTAATAGGTTAAGGGTGTCATACTTTTTTTTTTGCGCTATTTCTTTGTTATTGTAAGTTTGATTCTACCAATAAAATCGACTCACCTCTTTCATAAACATAGCTTTGTGCTCACTTCCCAGCTTGCTCTGCATCAATACGCACGGAAACAACTGTCGCCCTTCGGAAGAGTTCATTCTCATGGCTCTCAACACGAACAGAATAAAATCACCTTGTAGACCCTCGTCATCTCTATCGCGGATGAAATGCGCGAGCTTGACGTAAGCCCCTGAGACGAAAAGAAATCTCTTATAACTCACAGAATACAATAAATCCCTTCAATCTACCTGATATTTCCTTCTGTTTGTCCTCGTTCTTGGAGTTGTCGCATTCCATGTCCTCATCAATGCCGTCAATGGCCCTTCTCAGCAATTGACGGGCACAAATTTCGATATCGCTAGGAGAAGATATTTTATTTTGCAGTTTCTCAGCGAGATGTTCCTTATATTCGATGAAGAGTTCGGGATTTTTCACGAAAGTACATGATAGTTTGGAATATATATCAAACAGCTTCGAACTGCACAACAGGTTGATCATTTGATCCTGGCTATTTTTCATGCTGGATGCTAATTGAAAGAAAAAAAAAAGGAAACTGTTTGGAGAGCAACAAATTGAAGTTTCAAATTGAAATTGTAGTTTACTATTATTAAAAAAGTTGGTGTTTAGAAAAATTCTTGAACTGTTACAAAAAAATGCATTTATTTTTAGAAACAACGGAAATACTAACTCTGCTTTGAAATTATTGATAATAACAATAATATATCAAAGAATTTTCCATGTTAAAAAAAAACAATGCATAAAATGAAATACCTTCACACAAAGTGTACATAAAAGTATAAAAACTTGTACAGAGATCGTTTGCTACTGATGGATTTCTGCTTACACTTTTCCAACAAGTTTTTATTGATTTCATGACAATAAAGAATTGATTATAAATTGAAACTGTACTCACTAAAAGTATCCACGGCAGGTATAGTCCACTTGACTTCATCTTTCACGTTATCGGCCAGTTTGGTTTTCGCCAGAGCTATATTTCCATATGCTATATTCAGTTTTAGATTCTGTTTTCCTTGATAAGGCATGAAATATTTCCTGGCAAAATAATAGTTGTTTGAATTGGCAGCGAACTTGATGAAATCGATATCCATCATGACTACCGCAATTCGCAACTTCTTCATGTGTTCTTTCAAATCCAGACCTTCCAATCATAATGAGATTGGAAGTTATTACATCATTCAAACAGTATTTTTAAAAGTATTTATCACAAAACAAACATTTCTATAGCTAATGCCGCAACATATATTGAATTACATTTGCTATACACGTGTGGAAAGTTTCCTAACAGAAATTACTCAAGCAGTAATGAATATATGCTACTTGATTGAAGGAGACATGCGTGAAAACATTGTTCCAAATGAAATAACAAAATAAATTCTCAACTCATTCCTTGCCCTGCCATGTACAACTCAAATATTCATTAACTAACCTTTCATTCCAGATATCTTGTCGTTCAGCAGCTTCACGAACTGCTTCCTGTACAGCAACCTAGTTTCGTTCAGCAGCACCGTGGGAAAGACATCCTCCGAAAACTTTCGCCATCTATCGGCGAGGTTCGTCAACAACCCTTCCGGATCTTCCATCAGTCGCTTCAAGGTGGCGATGAAATCGGCTCCTTCGATGACGTTCCGAAGATTCAAAAGTTTCTGGAAGCGTAACGACTGGAACATCGTATTGGTGAGCTGCCAGGTTTCCAAGAATTGACTGACGCAAGTTTTCAGATACAGTTTGGCCGCTGGTATGTCACCTTTACTCAGCCACATTATGAACAGTTCTTCGGAAAAGTTGGCTCGGAGGTATTCGCTCTTTTCGTGGTCCGAAAGACACCTGCCAACGAACACAATAGAATAGACAGAAATATCTTCGTCAATATAAAAAGATAAAAGTTTTCCCACAACAAGAGTTTCACATTTCAATAAAGACGAAAAAAAAATCAGATTGGTGAGTAAATAACCAGGAAAAATTATTAAAAAAAATTATATTTATTTCTCTTATCAATAAGTATATATTTATTTCTATAAGAAATTGAATGCATTAACAAGAAAAACATCACTAGAGGTTTGTAAGGAATAGTATAACTACAACGTAGCAAAATTAGCATTCAAAGAATACCAAAATAAACTTCAGTTATTTGAGTTGAGTCGAGGATAAATCCTTGTTATTTCTTTTCCTGAAATATAAAACCCAACACTTGATAATCATTGTATGATACCTCGCACACACTTTGTTTTACTCAAATTTCAATATATGAAGTGCTTAATGAAAGTCCCTTTATTATAAGGCAAAAAAAATTGTCATACCATAAATGTGCTGGCGCCCCACGTTGGGCGCCACAAGCATAGTCATAAAAATAAACATATTTGAGCTTTGTTTTATCGTTTCCTTCTGACCATATTGTCTGTTGGTTATGAAAACAATTATGCTGAACAAAAAATTATTCCCACATAAAGCAATGTCACTTCTAAAAGAATAGGTACGAATGTGCCTGAAAACTCATCAATGTCTTGAAATCATATAGACTGGTGTCTTTTTGAATAACGTGAGTACATCCAAATGAAACATAAAAGCCCTTACCTGTTGATATCCTTCAGGAATTCTCCATCCCAGCGCCCTGTGTTCAGGTCCTTCTTCACATTCGCCTTCACGTACCAGGGAAGCAGCTTCTGCTGGTTCCACCCGTTGTCCCAAAGGGCGTCCCAAGTGTTTCCCCCTTCCACAACGGAGCCGATGAACTCCGGAAGCTCATCCCATTGTCCCATCTCGGCAAAGCACTTGAAGTATGACTCGTAGTAGAAGTCTTTGCGGTGAGGGGACAGATCGATATCAATGAGACGCTTGTAGAGGTCTTGAGCGTTGCGATGGTTCGATTCAGATTCGAACTTGATGGCTTTGTGGACCGCTTCGTGACAGTTCATTTTCTCCAGGAATATAGCGCGGACTGTGTCCCATTCTCCCAATTCTTTGTAGAGTCTGCAGACACAACAGTTTCAGCTTCATCCATTGATAAGCTGAAGATATGCTGACTAAACAGTGTGTAACTGAATAAGTGTAAAACATTTAAGGAGGTGATCGAAAAAGAAACAGGATCTTTCATATGAAGAAACTTCATTGGAGCATCCCTTTGTGAAGATACAGCCCCTTGAGGGGGTACATAAAATTTGTACAACAATTTTTTTCACAAGCACTGAAAAAGTTACAATATTGAAATTAATCTGACGTTTTCTACTACCAAAAAGACACTTAGCCAGTAATTTATTTGGTTTACCCCATGGTTGTAAGGGGTGGAAAACGCAACCCCTAAAATTTATTTCCAATGTAACTTTTTGTCTTATTATTTGTTTACCATTTAAAAATTTATTTCCGATAGCCTGTTTCAATTTAAACAAAAAATGTCTCTTGGGTTTTTTGCCCAAAATAAACCAGTTCGCAGCAAAAAATTATTTTACGAACAACTACAGAGATACATCGTCATAAATGCGAACTGGATTTATTGTTATTTTGTAGTTAGTACCTGCATTAAACGCTTAAAGGGTAATAAACAAAACTAATTTATTGATAACAAAACACACAACATGTAGAAATCATAGTAAATGTTCAATATGTCTACTTTCAGATATTACGCATGCGTCTAAACGTCGGCGCATTGAGCCACGTATTCGCTCAAATATTCCTGGAGTCTTTCTGATTACCCTGCACGCATCGATGATGCGGTTTTTCTCAAGTCCTCTACATCGCGAACAGGAGTACGATAAACCAAATGCTGTAAATGGCCCCAAATAGAGAAATCGAGAGGATTGAGATCCGGGAAAAGAATGAAACAGGCTATCGAAAATAAATTTTTAAATGGTAAACAAGTAATAAGACAAAAAGTTACATTGGAAATAAATTTTAAGGGTTGCGTTTTCCACCCCTTACAACCATGGGGTAAACCAAATAAATTTCTGGCCAAGTGTCTTTCTGATAGTACGAAACGTCAGGTTGATTTCAATATTGTAACTTTTTTAGTGCTTGTGAAAAAAATTGTTATACAAATTTTATGTACCCCCTTTAAGGGGTTGTATTTTGACAAGGGATGCTCCAATGAAATTTCTTTATATGAAAGATCCTATCTTGTTTTCGATGAGGAATCACCTCCCTAAATGTTTTACACTTATTTAGTTACACCCTGTATACATCTGGCCGATATTTAAGATGTCTGTTACGAGCTTATTCAAAGAAAAACAGGGTTGATAACCTAAATATGGTTCATCCATGTAATACTCACTCTGCTAGTTTGACCCAATACAGAGCTTCCTTGGTGTCCTCTCCGACAGCTCTCTTACTGCTGGTCGGCAATTCGTCCATCATAATGATGTATTCCTCGAGCAGCAACGCCCCCGTCGATACCAAACCGCTCTCTTGTGACACGTAACAAACTAGCTGTGGATCGAACGCAATCTTGCTTTTGTTCTTTAGCAGAATGTCGAGCAATGCGGCAAAAAGATGAGGGTTGAACTGTGTCGAGGAGTTGAAGATTTCTTTGATGCTCTTGGAAACGGTTTCTAGAAAAATTTGGTTGTCTTCGGCTTTCGAAGCGATCCCTTTGAAGATCTCCAGGAAGAGGAGTTTGGATATCTCGTTATCGTGCTGAAAGAGAGTGTAATATCGGTATTAACTGGACAGTTATTTACCTTCACGTACAGGGTTTTCTTTAGTTACTTAAAAAAACTACAACAAATGAAAATTTTTTCAATAACTCTTAAGTGATTATTTTTCATTATCCATTTTTAATTAACACGCTTTTATTAGCTTCACCTGTATGTATGTATGTTTGTTTGTAACTCCTCGAGCTAGGGATATGTATTTGACAGTATTATCGGCATTATTGCTTGATCTATTCGCGGGCAGATGGCGCTGTACGTAACATCCTTGATATATTGACATTATTGCTTGATCTATTCGCGGGCAGATGGCGCTGTACACGCCTGCTGCCTTATTTGTAACCCTCCTTTGCGCGCCTGCTGCCTTGGGCTTGGTAGCTGATTTTCAGGGTTCCTCTCCGGAATCGGAAAATATCAATGGCCATTTTTCTAAACAATATACGGCTGTCTGATCCCAAAGTTTAGATAAAATAAATATAGTTTAAAAAAACTCGCTTTTAAAGAACATCGAACTAAAAAGTTAATTTTTTTTTCAAATAAGCGTGTTTCTTTAGTTATTTAAACTATATTTATTATTCAATTCTTTACATTGTTATCTGGTAAAATCGTAAAAAACCCTCCAGTTCAACTTTTGAACTTGTCAAGGTCGGACAAAATTTACACAAAATGGCGTCATTTTCAGTACTTTTGATGGAAAAACAATATTGTGAAGTCACCGGTTTTCAATTAACTATTCTTTTACTCGTTTGTGACCATATATACGTTATGAATCGTGACTGGTGAATAAATATTATATTATCACTTTTTGGAATAGGATAATTTCGTAACTTACACCAAAGAAAACTAAGAATAATTTGAAATTATTGTTCGAGAAAGTTATTGCTTAAGCCAAATAATAATAATCGTCTTTATTCATCAACATAATGAAAATAAAATACAAAATTTCAGAATAATAATCAAGTGTCAACCAGCGGCGGCTCGTCAGAGGAGGCAATGGAGGCTTAGCCTCCCCATAACATTTGAGGCTATTCATCGCAATAAATTAAAAAATATTGACAAATAATTATGATTATTTTTTTCTAAAAATGCTAGGGTATCATTACTTTACCATTAATTTTTAATATAAATACATATTATGCCCGAAAAAAACACTATCACTCACTGCGTAGTACATACCACACTGTATCCTGTATCCTCAAACGCACTAACCATGAACGAATAAACTATCAACCCGAAATAATAAATGGCATACGTTGCAATGGAACCAAGCCTCCGACCGCTTTAAAAAACACAGGCTGCACGAGACCGATCCAACCAGCGACATACGTCCCGATTTGTAATTTCAGTTGCAGAAATTATAGCGTCAGAGGAGGCTAGCCTCCACTTGGTCGCCGTTAGTGTACGGCTGCGTTTGTTTTTTATTTAATTATTCGGACGGGAGATACCGTGACGGACCGGGGCTAAAAAATATTCCGGTAAATCGTTTTAGTGTTTCTTGATAATATTTGTCATTTGTGTATAAAACAGGCAGTATTATTATATAGCAGTGCTTTTTGGTAATATTTTTATTGTGTTTTAAAGTGTTTTCTTTCAACTTAAAGGTGTTTTTAGGTTTTCACTTTTCGGTAAGTTTTTTTTTTTCATTTATTATGGATGAGTTGAAGAAATTAAAAAATCTGACGATATATTCGATTGGTTGCTGACAAATAATTTCAAGTCTTTATCTTATGATAAAAAATTTTACATTATTGAAACTCTGGGAAGGCCTCAACCAAGTTTGAGTTCAATTAAATCGTCAGATAATCGACAAAATCGAGGATTTAATATTAGTTGGTACGATAAATGCGATTGATTAACCGGCTCCATTAAACGAGAAAAACTTTTTTGTTGGCCCTGTGTTTTATTTTCCGTACAAACCGAATACCAAACGTGGTCTAAAATAGGATACTCCGATTTAAAAAATTTACCTCGTGTTATGGGGCAAATATGATTCCCAATTTGGCACACTTTTTTAAACGGTAGCGTTTTTTCGGACACCTCAAAAACCATCCAAAATGAGCTTATTATAGACAGTGTGGCATATATTATTAAGGAAAATATAAGCAAGGAGATTGAAAGTGTTTCTTTTTTTGCATGGGAAATTGATGAAACTACCGATATTACCTGTACATCACAACTTTCAATCGTTTTTAGATATGTCAAACGTTTTATGGGTTTTCATGATGTTTCATCTGGGCGCACAGCTGACGATTTGTTTAATTTTTCAATTCGTACGTGTGACACCTATAATTTTAGGCAAAAATTAATTGCCAAAAACCTATGATGGGGCTGCGGTCATGGCCGGCAATTTAAATGGTTTACAAACTAAGTCCATAGTTCCTCATGCACTTTTTACCCATTGTCATGCCCACGCCCTAACTTTAGAATTAAGAAAGAGTGCAACAACATAAAAATTTTCGCGCCTCCGGCGGGCTTTTCTGTATGTATATAGTCTATATGACTTAAGCCTCCCCTGTTCTCCAATGCACGAGCCGTCACTGGTGTCAACGAAAAGGTGAAGTATCAGCCTAGGCTGTTTTTCAACTTAACCTTACATACATATAACAATAAGCTATGCACGGACTGGTGATTAGTCATATAAGGAAACGCTAGTTGAAGTTACAGAAGTTCACATACGTATTTGCTACCTCTTGAACATTTACTACAAAGTAAACAAGAGAGGAGTTTTCCAGTAATGGACATTAAACAAATCTGGCTACCTGTCCTTACAGGTACACAAACAAGGTCGGGTAATCGAAATAAGAGAAACCAATACACGTCCACTAATAATAATATAAAACCAGAGTCAAATAAGAGCATCGCGGTTAATGTGGTCTATACGACGGGAACAACAACTCGAGCATCAACTCGGGCACATCGTCTTTGATAATGTATACCGTAGTAGTAGACGAAATGTCAGACCAAGACAAAAAAAAACCTGGAAAATAGCTTTCACACAGATATATCCGGTCGCAAAAGTTTACATTCTTTGATCAACTATTATATTTTTCTTTTCTGTTGCAATCCCTAATATCACAGGTTCTATTTCTTGGGATGAATAAAAGAATAGTACAAGTTGATTACAGAAGTAGTATTTCTCTATGTTGCCAACTTGGCAGTACTCACCAATGCCAACATCTGCAATGGCTTCAAAACAGACGAAAGCGCTATCTGTATATCAGGAAAGTCCCCCTTCCTGTAACTCCTGTAAATAGTCACATTCCTCTCTCTTTCTACTGCCGAATCTATCCTCTTCTGCGCCTTCTTGACCTGCTTCTTCGTCTCGAAGTGAGCGTGGCTGATGGATATTTTTGCTTTGTCTCTCAAGAAACGCCTCCTGGGGATTCGGTATTTCTGTGACAGGATGGTGAAATTGGGGTTTTTGATGGCACTGCTGCTGATGGACAAAGAGGTCTCCAAACTCGTGTAGCTCATTAGCTGTTGCTCCTGCAAGCTTTGTGTGGGTACGAAATCGAATGTCGTTACCGTCTGTCTCAGTTGGAAAGGATCTCCTTCGTCTGGTGTGAAACATTTCAAACATTCGAGATAAATAAATCATTCAACACATACACATACGAGGTCTGTTGAAAGAATGAGGACCTAGGAGGACAACTCCTTGGGAGTCCCTCCTCACTCTAATGATATAGATTCAAAATGTTTGAGAGAACTCATTAAAAATCACCCAAAAGAAAAATTTCCCTTTTATGTGTTTTCAATCTTCATTATGAACCCCCGAGAATCCTGAGTAATTGAGAAATCTTTACTCTTACCTTGATTGTCGCTTGGATCGTAGGTCTGTAGAGTTTCTGCAAACATGGGAACAACAGAAGGATGCTGTAGCCTCCAGTTGGTATGCAGCCTGTAATCCTCGAAGTCGCAATCTTCCAAAGGGTGTTCAAAAACTTTGGCTTCGTAGGCTTCGTAGCGAGTCAGCAAATGGATCAGGAAATAAGTTACATAACCCAAAAATTTGTCCTCTATCTTCGATTTGTAGATTTCCGACAGGAGAAAAGGAAACCTCTGTATGATGGTGGTTGGCAAAGACGGGTTCTCGGCCCAAAATTTGGTAACCTTGGCATGGATATTTGAGATGTACATTTACTGAAGTTTTTCTAGTTCAATATTTGATAATTTAGTTAAATTTATTTTTTAGCTTACAGGTCATAATCAACAACATTAAATATTTCCTAGAAAAGGATAGAAATTTCAAGTTAAAAATAATGACGGTAAAAATTGTAGAGTAGAAGATCCGTCGGTTGAGCAAGACAGACCTGACGTCACGGCAGACAGACTAGACATAATAGGTAACATAATACGTTATATTTTTTTTTTTTGGGGAGTTGAACGCGAGACGTTTGGTGTGGTAGCCTTTGAGTATAATCTCGTCGCTAGCGAGGGATATTTCAAATGAATGTGAATAGTTGGTAGATATGGGTATTGCGAGTTCGGTTAGTTGCGGCATTGTCGATAACGAGAGTCAAGCACGTTCAACATGATAAGTTGGAAGAGCGTGATAGCAACGCGGTTGAATTATAAAAATAATGGCATAATAATGAATGAAAAATCGGATTAAAGAAAAAAAAACATGGCTACCAGTGGTAAAGAAAAAAAAACATGACTGCCATAGAGATTTAGATTTATTTATTTGAAATAGATATCCTAATATACATAAATATTATACAAATATATCAGTTATTAAACAGAATTACAAAAAAACTGCAATATATAAGACCCTATATAATGGAGTATATTGGGTAAAACATAGCAGTAGTAGATGATGAAGAGATTAATAGAGAGAAGAATGATGAACAACTCAATTGGAATAGTATTGTGCCCGTAGATATTGAGATTAGGAGCGTTTGAAGAATTGAAGGGTGTTACCTTGTTTAATTTCATTAGGAAGCTTGTTATAGTTCAAGAGTCCTCTGTGAAAAATAGAATTCATTGTTCTTGCAAGGTTAGTTCGTGGGACAACCAAGTCATCTCTTCCTCTTGTATCGTATTTGTGTATCTGATGGTTATATGTAATAAACTCAATGAAGTAATGTGGTGCTTTTCCAGTGAGTATTTTGAATATGAATATCATAGAAAAATATTATCATCTATCTTTTACTGTCATCCAATTCAGAATATTAATCATTGATAATATAGGAGAATATTTACGGCATTTTAATAACAAGCGCATTCCTGTTTTGTAATTTTTATAGAGTAGAGATTGAATTACCGTCTAGTAATGATATCAAAGTAGCACAGTAATCAAAGTGTGGTAGGATTATTGTTTTATAAACAGTCAAATTAGATTGGAATGTTAATTGTCTACTAATTCTAGTAAAGAAAAACAATTTTTTAGAAATTTTATTACACATATACTGGAAGTGTTTTTTTTAAGTTCAAAGTGTTATCAACGATGAAGCCTAGGAATTTGAATTCTTTCACAATTTCTATAGTTTCGCCGTAGATCTCAATATTGATGGAGTTGATATCAATTAAGTTATCAATTAGAGATATACAGGGTGTTTCAACATTTAAGAAAAAATCATGACTTCAGTATGTACAGGGTGTCTCAAAATACGCTATTTAATAAAAAACATCGTTTTTGGCTCAAAATCCCATGGTTTTTCTTATGGAGCTTAATTTTAGTCATTTTCAGACCTTATAGCGGAACCTTGTGGAACACCCAACTTGAGGTAGATGTGACGTTTGTAAGAGTTATACGATGCAATATGTATGTGTATATGGGGAAGAAGGTGACGACGTCATCATGGAGTAGAGAAAAAGTTAATTTATTCAAAACGAGTTTTAATAGCTCAATTTCTATTTTGTGCCCCGAAAATACTGGATTCTTCTTATGTACAACAATTTCTAGATCAAGTAATGAACGCTTGTAGAACTTACCTTCTCCCTATTGTCTCTATCACAATCGTTCAGCCCATATATCAGCATCTCCTTGCACGACCCCGTATCATCCCTCTTCATGTTATAAACCTGCATGGCAATGTCGTACACGCAACTTCGATACAAAACGTTCACATTCGATACGTTCCTACTCAGAGTCTTGACCACATAGTGCCAAATGTCATAGTCGATAAACACGTTTAAGCACTTCTTCATGATCTCCAACGTTACGATCTGAATCTCCAAATTGGCGTGTTCCAATAACTGATCCCAGCTCACGATTTTGAAATCGTTAGTTTCTGCGAGGATATCCAGCGAAATAGCTACGCGTTTGCAGATTATTTTTAGGTGGACTATTTTTTGAGCATCCGGTACTTGGTTCAGGGGGCTGATTAGCTTAGCGATGTGGTACGAGTCAACTAGTTGTGGGAAATGTATTGCGATTCCTGCAAAAAAAAAATGGTGGAACTGGAATTTGTTTTTTGGTCGTGGTCTGCAAGTTTTTATGCCTGAAATTTTGTCTACTAGTGCGGTTGACAATATCAAAAGCGATGAAGTAACGATTGTATTGCTCGAGGGTAGTTTATGTATACTGATGTTCGTATAGTCTACTTGTCACACGTCTGTTGGTCTGGCCTACATATGCTCTATGGCAGTGGTCGCCAACCTGTCGATCGCGAGCTACCGGTAGCTCGCGGAGACAATTCTGGTAGCTCTCACAACGATTTTAATTTGAAAAATACAAACTGCAAAAATCAGAGAAGCTTCCGAAAATTCCACAAAAAAATCTAATTGTCATAATATTAAACATAAACAGCGGCAACGTTGCGGTGAGCGATCTGCCGCTGACGCCATCAAGCTAGAATCGGCTAGAACCGACCAATGAACCGACTCCGGAACTAGAAAATTCAATCTGGCTTAGAGATTTTGGTTTTCTCGTGGACATTACAGAGAAATTAAACAAACTTAATTTGCAGCTTCAGGGGAGAGACAAAGAACTAGCGGAAATGATTTCTGATATAAAAGCATTTATCAAAAAGCTGGAGTTTTGGGAACAAAACCTAATTAACAACGATGCCAAGTATTTTCCTATTCTTTCAAAAAAAATATCTCAAAATCCATTAGAACCCTATGACAACAAATATCATGTAGAAATAATTTCTACCCTGAAGAATAACTTCAAAAATCGTTTTAAGGATTTCAATGAAATGGCTTTAGTAGCGCAGTTTGTTGTTTCACCCTTTATGGAAATTGATATCCAACAGTTTGCAACTTGTGTTATGCAGAACTTTGGCGAAGACATCGCTGCAACAGAAATGGAAGGCATTGAGTTTCAAAATGATTTAGCTTTAAAATCGTTAGTCGCAAGTACTGAATGTATCTGGCCTATTGTAAGTAAAGACAAATATTCAGTTCTATGCCATGTTGCCTTGAAAGTGAAAGCATTATTCAGTTCAACCTATTTGTGTGAATCTTCTTTTTCCAATATGAAGTTTATTAAGAACAAATATCGCAATCGACTTACAGATGAACATTTGGATAATTGTATTCGAATGGCTGCATCAAATTACACTGCAAACATTAAAAAAATTATTGATGAGTCTGAATGTCAGCCTTCTCATTGAACGTGCTTTTTTATTTTTCAATGTTTATGTTCATGATAGTGCGTTACTTTTTTGTTGTTATTATTAACTATTTTTAAATCATACATGACATGCCGTTGTGGCTGGATAAAAGTTTGTGTTTATTTTTCAAACACCTTCGTTTAATAGGTAGGAATGTAGCTATGAACAAGTACCTACTAGTAATATTAGTTATTTTGTTATTAGTTTATTATTAGTACCTATGTATTATGTATTACCAGTTAAATAGTAAAATAAATACATATAATGATAAATTAACTGTGGATTATTTCATTTACGTTGCGTTACGTGGCTTCCGTGTGGGTAGCTCGCTGTTTATTCCAAAATTAACAAAGTAGCTCAACACATTGAAGAGGTTGGCGACCACTGCTCTATGGTGATCGAAAATGGAAATTCATATAACGGGTGATTTTTTATGAGGTATAGGATTTGATTTTCAAAACAACACAAACAATTTGAAAATATTGATGAAATCTTTATTGGAATCGATAGAACCATCAATGTAATTTAATGTTTGAAGATGATTTCATGCAAATGTTGTCCGCGGTTCCGCTTTAGATGGCCCATGCGCAAGGTCCAATTTTGGCACACTCTCTCTAACATATCGACCGGTATTTCACGTACAAATGCTTCAATATTGGCTTCCAGATCGTCAGTCGTTGCTGGTTTATCTTTGTAGACCTGAGCCTTAACATGACCCCACAAGAAATAATCCAAAGGTGTTAAATCACACGATCTAGACGGCCAATTGACGGGCCCTAAACGTGAGATAAACTGTTCACCGAAAGCGGCTCTTAATTGGGCCATTGTTTCGCGTGCCGTGTGGCATATGGCACCGTCTTGTTGAAACCACATGTCAGGCATGTCCAATTCTTCCATTTTAGGCAACAAAAAGTCGTCAATCATCACACGGTAGCGCTCGCCATTCACAGGGACTGTCTCGGGATACATCGGTAGCCCTTGCAATGCTTGTGGCTGGTCTTTACTCCAGATGCGGCAATTTTGCTCGTTAACGTATCCATTCAACCAGAAATAAACCTCGTCGCTGAACACAATTTTTCGATAAAAATGTGGATCTTTCTCCAAGTTTGCCAGCGCCCATTCAAAATGTTAGACAGAGTAACAGAGCCCCAATTGCTGTGAACGGCGGCGAATCGACATCTCACGGTCATCACGAACACTGGCGGATACATCCGCAATATTTTCTTCGGTCCTCACTCTACATATGCGTGTTGGTAGTTTAATGTCCAATAATGTAAAACTGGGTTCGAAATTTAGTCACAAGCTTCCGAATAGCTCCCTCAGTAGGCCGACGAAACTGCCCATAAATTGGAAGAAGTGTACGATGCACAAAATTGGTGCACGATGCACCAATTTTGTCCTTGGGGGGAATGGAGGAATGTGGAAATTTTATTGTTGGCGGTGAATATTGATTTCACGTCCTGTTTTTTAGAATTCGATCAATTTTGTCACTAGTTACAGTCAACTTGCTGTCCGAAAGTCAGACTCATCCTCAGCCTTGCCTACACATCATCAAGAGACAGGTCACAATATAGACTTTGCGAACACTAACTAAATCGCCACAACGAAAACACTACAAGCTCTGATAATTCGCGCGGCCATCGAAATCGAGAAGCGACCTTCCTGCCTGAACAAACGCGACAGACAACGGTCAGACTTCCAACTACCTGGAAACCCTTTATTTCCCGATGTCCACCCTCCCACCAAGACGTCCGGTGATGGTAATCACCTCAAAACCTCATCCCAAAATTTCCTCTTCAGTAGCACCTGCCTATATAAATACCACCGAACACCCTTCGATACCTCAGTTCAATCTAAGTTGTAGGAAGATTGGGACTTCAGAGAGAACTCTTGACGTGACCTGGGAAGTAGGCAGATTGAGACCCCCGCGTCAAGTCACATCAATTTCTTAAAAATAACTCCAAAATCGGAGCAGAAACGTCGAACACGAAACCACAAAACTCCAGACGCGGTTCAACCCGAAACTCAACAGAATGCCTATCGGGCTGTGTAATGATTTTCCTATATGGCAACGGTAAATAATATTTTTTTTATATGAAGGATTTTTTGAGAGTTCTTGACATGTTGTATGGCGTCAACATTCGCTTTACAATTCTAATTGACTTTTGATTGAAAAACAAACTCGAAAGACATCTCTACATAGACATTATGACGTTAGGCGGACGATGATGACATCTACAAGCCTAGCGTGGAGGTAGTGGTTATATTTAAAGAGTTTGGTGATGTGGCTGGCAGAACACCATAATTAATACATTATCAAAAATAAGTAGAGGCTCATACTATAATTGAATCTTTAAAAAACTTATGGAAAACTCACCTTCGAGACAGAGAACATAGTGCTCCATATTCGAATTCACCTTCAAACTAGAATCCACCACCTCGTTGTACTGATCGTCATTCAAGATACGCAGCATCAGCCCTACAGTTTCGGCGCAAGGCCTGTACGTTGACTTGCTGGGAGATTTCATCCTCCGCAACAACAAATTCAAGAAATCCCGCTCTTCGCCCTCTTCCCAAGGCTTGAGATCGTTTACCAGTAGTACCGACGAAACGTGTATACCGACTTCTGCAGTGCCCTCAGAAGAGATGAGGTCAACAAGTGAGGAAGTCGGTACGGTGAGATAATCCTTCCATGACTCCACTATCATCTTGAGAATATCCAGGTTGTATTTGAAGACGTCTTGCCTTTCTTTGGTTAGGTTCTTGATTAGAAAGTCCAGCATCTCTGTTCCTAGGAGTTTCTCCTTTTCGGAAAGATTTGTTACTTGAGATGCCCATTGGGATAGGATCACCAGCTGAAACATTCAGTTGAAGAATATATCAAGTCAATGAGTTTGTCGGCGCCCAACGCGGGGAGAAATTCACTCAGTGTTTTGATATCGAATATTTTGAATGAAGGAAACTCACCACATCTGTTACAAAATAGTTTATTTCATTTCCGGCACATTTGTCTACGATAAATTGCATCAAAGGTTCCAAAAACCATTTGGAATAGTGGTTGAAAATATCCTTCATGTTATCGATGACTTTGACGAGAAAAAATTTCACATTATTGTGGGTTTTTTCGTTTAGAAGTGTTGTTCTAATACCTGGAAAAAATCGAGGCTAATTTATAAATTCGTTTTATCCCAACTTTCTCTTGAAGAAAATCACTTGGTGATCGAAACACGTGTCGAGGTGTTAAAAATAACCGTTTAGTGTTGGTATAAAACTAGTTTTGTATATAAAAACGTTTCTGCTTACCATTCATCCAATTTGGTAACATAATATCCTCCTCTCCTTCAAGTGGCAGTTCGCTGACGCCGGTATCGAAAATGTGCCGAATCAACCCGCAAATCGTGCCCATACACTCATGCGCGTTGATCTCCGTCGCGTCCAGATGTATCAGACTCTGAACCCCAACGACGTCTTCCGCCTTCTCGATGACCTTTCCCTGGAGGCGCAACACGGAATTGGTAAAGTCGAAATTCGTAACGTCCTCGCTTAGGGAACTGTTGAAAAGCCTCTGCGACTCGATGTACCTCAACGACTTGGACTGGGCGTTATCTCCGAGGAGTTTCCTTCGCAATTCGTCCCTGATGCTCACCAGGACCTTCCTCTGGTGAGGAACGGAGTCGAAAAGTACGGGGAAGTCGTATACGACTTCGGTGTTGACTATGCCGCACCACAGGACGTCCTGGCCGTCAAGCTGTCTCACGAACAGCTTGTCGTAGAAGTCGGGCTTCCTGAGAGAGTTGCTGACGATCGATGCGAGGGCGTTGTACGCGTGGCACTTGTATTTCCTTGCTGTTTCCGTTCTAGCTGGTATCTTGAAGGCGTTCAACGCCATCCCAGCAAAAACTGCCAGAAGCTTCGGTTTCTTCGCCGAAACGGAAATAGGACAAGCCGCCCGACCTGGTGTGCCTATCGGAATTCGTAAAAACAAAACCTCGACTAGCGTGAAGTGAATTGTAGCCAACTCCAGGTCTCTCTCTTCCAGTTTCCTTAAAATAGCTTCTATATTCTCCACGTAGAATGCTTCAAAAACAGACAAACTGCTGTTTTGGAACAACGGAGGCAATACTTCCGTTGCGACCTTATAGCGACTGCTGAACGCGATATCTTGGTCGCAGCACATCGAATAAACTTTGGCGAGTATTTTCCGTTGCAAACTCTCGTCGATGCTTCTCGCTAGACTTGATAGCAAATGGAATTTCTCTACGTTGATTTCAGAATTGAGATAATGCGATATCAGAAACTCGAATATCGGAAGAGATCGCACGAATGGCAAGGATGTTAACATTTTGTTAACGGCGGCGGTTTTGGTAGATGAATCAGTTACAATAGGTATGCGATCATTGAAGACTGTCAAAGCGGTTTTCAGTTCGTTGCTGAAACAAAGAAGTTTATAAAATTGAGGAGTTACGTCATTGTCTTTTCTTACTCGGACTTGTTGAACGTAGCTGGGTTTCAATAGAAATACTATAAACTGAAGTGGTCATTTGGAATCATACTTTATTATCATTATTATTTGAATTTGAGTTGATAAAAAACTGAGCCACTTTCCAAAATGAAACCCTAGTGGCGTTATTGTGATATATTGCAATAGAAATATAATTTATTGGCGAACAAATTATTAGAGTTTTGACATATGTTCTTACGTTTGCTCCTCAGTAGCATCATCTGAGGCAGTTGACACCAAGAGATCAAACGTCTCCAGATCGTTACTTCCATTTCCTTCCAACAAACATTTCACCAACCAACTGGAAATCTTCTTACAACTCGCCTTATTCATCTCCACCAGTAATTTGACATATTCCAGACCGTCACGCGTTTTGTTCTCATTAACCTCGAAGTATTCAGCAAATGGCTGCCAATGATTCACCAAACACTTCACTATATCCTTGTAAAAACTCCTATACGCCTTCTCCTTCAACATCAACGACAGAGCACAACGAATCAGTTCCACACTCACCTCCAAGTTGTTCTTGGCCAGCGAGAGAGTTAAAAACGAGTCGAAATCTCGTGCGATAACTGGCAAAACCGCTTCCGAGAAAATACTCAAAAAATACAAGCCAAAGCTGGTCTCTCTGGTGAACTCCATGCACTGAACAACGCGTTTCTCATGCAAGCGGTCGATCAAGGCTGCCAACTCGTTACGCTGTCTCAGAGAGAATTTCAGCAAGGTAGTGACGTAGGAGAGAGTTGTATCTTGGATCTCGTTAATGAAAAGAACCGCCCCGTCGTCACTGGAATTCTTATGGAAAGCTATAGCTAATGTATCTATCAAGCCAGTAGCGTAGCTCTCTACTTGGATTATTTGGTTGAAACTGGTTGCAGCAATTGTAGCAATCCCTCTCAAAACGTTTCTTTGTTTGAGCGACACGCTTTTTGTTAAATCCACAGTGGCGTCGAACTCTCTGTCGATAAGAGTAGTGATAGCAACCTTCAACTCGGTTACTTTAGATCCCGCCAGCTTTCTGGGGAGAGTGTTGAGCAAGACCTCGAGCAATTCGGAATAGTTAGGGTGTAAAACATCGTTTAGTCCTAAGAACTGGGGATGGAACAACACGTTGAGCAACAGCTTCCAGAAATCGCCTCCCCATAAACTTACAGACTGTTGGCAGAGCGATTCGTCACGCAAGAGAGAGGTGTATAGCCTCAGGATTGATAAACAGCACGCAGCTTTTAAAATACGATATTGATCCCTATCCATGGCTGTAAAGATCCAAGTCTGGTGCGAAATCAAGTTAAGGGCCTCGGTTATCTCAATCGACTGGAAGTGTTTCAAGAAATACTCCATTTCCCCGAAGAGGGCGTTGTTGTCGAAGCTGAGACTCTCCAGATTGTTTCTGACTATAAAATGATAGCCATCCAAGGCGCTTAAAAGCCCCTGCAACCACTTCAAGAGCACGTGACATCCGTCAGCTTTTAAATCCTCAAACCTGCTCACCAAACCGTCAAAAACGTGTGAGAGTTTGTGATCCAAGTTTTTCGCTACAAAACTCTGCACGCTCATCTTTCCGTCGCTAGACAATGGCGCGAGATTCGAAAAAAGTTCCATGCACATGTCGCGACAGTGCTTTGTCATGCTGCCAGAGCGTTCGAGAACCCAAACGGCAACGTCACGAAGCAAACCTGAGCGAAAATCGTTCGGAATTCGTCGTTTTTCGTCGTGTTCTCGAAAAATAAACCGCTTTTCTACGAATACTCTCTCAACGTGTCGCAAAGCGTGCTTGATCTGAACGACGGTGGTGGTTTCTTCGAATGACATGACCGTAGAGAGACTGAGAACGAATATGTGCAAGATTTCGAGCCAGAAGATGCTCACGAGGGCATCTTCCTCTCGCAGTTCGCGGTAGATGTTGTTAAAGATCAAGGCAGCGCCAAGTTTTTTAGCAGAATCCGGGTGAGAACTAAAGAATCTCATGTTATTCACGAGAATTTTGATGTTGATGGGATCTCTAGCTATGCTGTTTTCGTTTGCTTGCTTTATAGTCCATTTGACGAACTCCTTCACGCATTTCCCTGCAAAATCTCTCAGGCTGGAGTTGGTAGGATGCGTAATGCCCTCCTGAAATATTTTCACTGTGCATCTCAACTAGAGAACGAAACTAAAGTTCTTACCATCAATGTATCTATGATGATTGCCGTGTGCGGGCCCCTTGATTGAGTAGGTGATGTATACCAATGAACGAGTTGCAGAAATAGCGGTTGAAATATTTGTTCTACCACTTGATCGATATCGCAGGCCAGCTGCAGTAGAGGAATCGCGAGGGTTTTTAGCGTATTATTCATCTCTGAGAGACCTGATTGACTCATCGGTTTAGCTATAATAAACAGCGAAATAAAAGATAAATATTTGGTTTTTGGACGACTCGCTACAATTTTTTTAAATTTCCAATTAGACTTTTTAGATTTAGATTTTTTTTCGCTAATTACAAATCGGAAGTCAAAAAATATAATTTTGTGAGTACGAAACTTTCTATATGAAGAAATGGGAAGTGACAAATGAATAAAGCAGCATGCAAAGGTAAAATGAAAGTTCTAGAAGTTTTTATTACCGCGAATGAGTTATTGAAGTAGCGCAAAGTTAAGTTTTGACTTGAGATCCGATCGATAGATTATAAAACACCAGTATAACTCACCTCTTCCCAAAAAAACCATCACGCAGGCCTGCAGCAACTCACACGCCGTTATCCGAGTCTTCCTATCGCTGGAATGTAGCGCCAAATCGATGATCCTCGGCAAAAAACTATCCAAGTGAACATTCAACTGCAAATCTTCGTAGAGCAACGTAACTCTCAGATGAGAATCCCTACCGGAAATGAGGTTACGAACGTGATTGTCGTTCGAAAATATAAAAGCCTGCAAGTTCCTCAAGCTCTGCCTCCCTATGAAACAGAGAATCTCTCTCTGCAACGTCACGAGTTCCGGCTCCACCTCAAGCAGTACCTTCCTTTTTTTGATAGCCTGCTGGGTCTTCCTTCGCTTCTCGACGATACCCTGACCTAACCCCCTGAGAGACTTACTCCTCAAAAAACTGTCTAAACTGGGGATGATTTTCATCAAGATCGGTTCTAGCACTTCCGGTTCTATATTTTCCTGCCAGTACTCCAAAGTCCGCAGTCCCATGCGAGCGAGCGGGAGGTAGCTCCTTCCCACTTCGAAGACGTTAATCAAAGGCACAACGCACGACGGGAGCGCGTCTTTAATAACAACGACAGGAGTTCCTAGCAAAACCTGCAGACATGATATCAGTAGCTCATCCTTGAATTCCGGCATTTTATTTAGCAGGAGCGCCAAAAAAGTTGACAGCGTAGTTTGACAGTTATCAACGTCCGGGCCTCGAGCACTGGTACTGTAGCCAATATCTTGGTCAGGATGAGTTGAGAACAGCTCTAGATTTTTAGCGATTTTCAAGCTGAAGGACAACAGCTTATAGAATCCGCTGGTGAGCGGGTACTTCAAACATTTATCGACGAGATGCGTCACGATTTTGCAGATGCACTTCCTGAACATAGTCGGCTTGACTTTCTCGAAAATCTCCTGGTAAAAGTCTACCAAGTTCAGGAAAATCGCGTAGTCGTTAGTAGCCTCGGTAGTGTAAGCCTGACTGACATCTGTAGTAACTACATCATCACCTTTGAGTTTCACAGATACGTTCAGTTTATTAATAAGCATCATGAGTGTCTTCACAAGTTCGTTAACGGTTCTTTCGAGGACATACTTGCGGTCTTCCAAGCCGAAGCCTCGTTTGTCGTAGACACGGTTTGAGGTTAGGTTCAGGATGCCGGTCCACAGAGGAAAGTAGTTCTTGACTGTTACTGTCTTCTGTGTTGTTTCTTCAGAAAAGGCTTCATTGGATATGTGTTGGTGGGAGCAGGACCAAACCACACCTGTGAACAGCTCAGAAAATTAAATACACGCAAAGAGGGTTGAGGCATTTTATACAGAGTGCTTCGGAAGTCTCGGGCCTAACACGTAGATGGCGCTAATCTAATTGCATTCACCGCCTTTTCAGTTAGAACTAATCTTCGAAAGGAAGTTGTTGGAATTTTATGATATTCTACTGATAACTTTGTGAGTTATAGTAATAAGTGTGACACTATTTTGGTTATTTTCAAAACAATGGATCAAAGACAATGTCTCTGCTTCTTTATGGAAAAGAATACCGTTGAAGCAAAGCAATGGCTTGAAAAGTGGACTCCGCTCCATCATAAACAACAATTAAACGTTGGTTTGCTGACTTCAAACGTACTCGTAGAGATGTTGATGATGCAGAATGCAGTGGACGTCTAAATGAGGCAGTAACACCAGAAAACATAATTTTGGGCAAAAGACAAATCGTTACCTTGATAAATAACGTTCTCCACAAAAACATCAAAAAACTTCGTCTTCCTCAAATGAAACAGCGTCATGACAAGAGCATCGACGACCAGCTCGAAGTGCAGAATCGGTAACTGATGAAAACTCTTGATCATGTTGATGGTCGCTCGCTGCAGGCAAAAAAACTCGCTCGTCGTGAACTCCTTGAACGTCATAAAATTGGCGACGGCCTGCACGTAGTCCGGAAGGTACTCCCACTGTTCACTCTGCGGGTCGTAGTTGAGGATGTAAGTTTCTTCAAAGTTCTGCATTATGGTCAGGAACAGACTTGTGACCTCTTCGGAAGGGAGGTGTTTGTAAGACGCGGGAGCGAATTGTTGAAGACAGAAGATTGCGAGACGTTTTTCGGAGTTGGATGATTCTTTCGACTCTAATATGGACTTGCTGTGATTGTTGAAGTGCTGGAAATAGTTGCACAATTTGATTCAAGCTCGTTTTGATGAATCAGAACTGTTACCAAAAAACTGACCCAGGGGCTTGAGCCGTTTTTGGATGGAACATATTGTAATTAATCTGAAGCCGCCCCTGACTAATATGTCGGCCAGCGAACAAACACATGACATCACTGCAAAAGGAATGCAGTCGGAAACCGCCGGTTAAACTCTAGTTGAGTACCGAAATGACTACAAAATTCTAGAATGAACGTTACCGATATATAAGGTAAGACATTTATTGACCTTTAAAAATTACAAAAATGTTTATGAGATAAATTCAATCTCATAATTGTGTAGGTACGTCAAGACAGGTGTAGATGTAAAAATGTGTATAAAATTTGTAAAACTATGTAGAAAAAGTAGTGAATACTCTGTAAAAATTACATAATCCTAGAAACTAAGGTCGGCTTCTCGTCCCAAGAGGGCAGAAGAGTTCAAAAAGTGAATCGAGCGGTTAAACAAGGAATTCAAATAGTGGAAATAAATTAAGCGTTGTGAATAAATGTGATAGTGAAATATTGTTGGAAATAAATTTGTTTAGGACAGTTAATTCTTTAATTTGTCACAATATAATAATAAAAACCAATTGAAATCAATTCATCAATTATTTTTAGTAATGTGGGGAATAGTCTAGCTGTCTAGCAGAATCACCCAAAACAAATCTGTGCCTTTTTTTATTGAAGAAACTGGTGAAGACGAAATTATTTATTTAAACTCAACAAAATGCAGCTGAAAAGACAGCTCCGGAAAAAACAAAAACGCTAAATTAAGACTGATTTCAAGCCACTCACAACCACAATTTTTTTCCATTCCTCTCCCTCCTTCTGGCATAGAGTGGTAGCTACGTTTTGTAAGAAAGCTCTCACCACAGCAACTCCCGCTTTTCTATCGTCCGAGCCCATCGTTAACCAATCTGTGAGTTTCCTGTGCCAAAATTCATACTCAGCCAGAAGGTTCTCTTCGAATAGAGCAGTGTTGTTGGCCAGAAAAAGCATGGCAGCTAGAAAAATCGACTTAGTTTACTTGCCTTGCTTTATGTACATGGTCTGTTGAAAAATAAGGTGAATTTTTTTCAAATATTTATTTCATCAATTTTTATTTTGTCCCCTCAGATGCCAGCGTTTATTCCAACCCTCAAAGCAGTTCTGCTATAGTATAACAATTTTCAATTGAAGGTAACTCATATACAAATTGAACTGAGAGCTAACGGCAACAATGTTAAATGTTAGAACTAAATTCTTACCGGAGTCATTTTTATTGTCTATGCATCGCCATTGTAAATAATTGAAAAGCAAGATGATTCCATAAAATTTGACCCCCCTAACAAGATAGCTTCTGCATATCGATAGGATGTACGAGCGAGTAGGTGAACCAGTTCATTAAATACTTTGAAACATCGGTATACTGATCAACACTTCGCAGGTCTATCATATTTGCGTCCTTAAAATGCCATAACTAGTCATTCGGTTTCTTCATTATCAAGCGTCCTTATCTGCATAGGCGTAGTGTGTTCTGTTTCTTGTAAAGGTGACTTTGTTTTGTATTTATTAAATATATTTTATTATATTTATTAAATAGAGTGTTATATTTATAAACTTTAAAATATAAGATAGAGTTGGAGGATACTTGTTTTTCAAAATACATTATCATAGATTTTCATCACATTCACACTTTATTGTGAGATAATTAGTTGACCTAGTCATTAAACTCAGGTATAAATGTTCCTTAGGTATAACTGTCATTGATTAGTTCCTAGAATAGTATTAGTTTCTAGGTAGATAGTAATATTTCAAAAAGTATATATAAATCACAATGTATGTAGAATTCAGTTTGTTAGCGAACACGCTTGAAAAAGCTAATGTGTCGCAAAACACGTTTTGCGGATTTGTTAATCGGTTCTAGTGAAAATCTCACAATAAAGTGTTTTTCAAAAATATTTGGTTTGCAAACTCAAAACTGTGGTTGTTTTCTCCTGTATGTTCAACTAATAAAACTTGAAGGAAAGTTTCTGTGCGAATTTCGACTAGAAAATATAAAAATCGTTGTACTCACCCCTGTTACCCAACCTTATCCTTTCCTTTGGAACGACAAGGATTTTGATGGTCTTGTACAGATTTTCAACTATTTTTTTATATTCGGTCGTTCCGACCTTCAGAGGGAAACTCTCGAGGAAATACTTGAATCCAACGAAGAACCCTTCTATAACATTTTGAGTAACTTTTTTAAAGGGAAGCACCGCAACGTGAATTTCAAAGTTTCTCCAGAAAGACTGCTGGATTCCTCGGGAATCTTGAATGAAATAAGGATACTTTTTCGCAAAAAATCCTAGGATCGTTAGTTCTTTGCTTTTAACTGAAAAAAAAAAGGAAAGGTCTTCAGAACAGAAAGTCTGGGTTCACTATGAAATAAGAAACAGTGAAGACTTCCTCTGCAGTATATTGAGAGGGGAAGATGGTTAATAGTTTTTTTTCATTATAAAACATTAAACCCCTGATGCGTTATGTTGAAGCAATAGGAAGATTGATAGAGTAGAGTAGAGTAGTTTATTTGACCACTTTATATACAAAATTACATTTATGGCGAGTCATATATACTATAGGTACTATGTCAGACACTTAAAATATGAGAAACAACGTCTGTAGATTGAAGTAATAATTTTTATAAATAAATAAAACTGGCATATCAAAATTCCTTAAAATGATCACAGTGTCACATGAACGGTAATAAATATAATATAAAAAGGTGAACAAACATAAGAACAGGCTTTATCACAGCTTCACAACATGAATCATTTTTCAAGAACCATGAATTCACCAGCTACAGCAGCATATTCTTCGATTGTGTGCTTCGAACAGTGGTTGAGAAGATATCTCTTGATATTATTTTTGAAATTTCTGAAATCCAAAGATTTAACTGAGGGATGGAGACAGTTGTATAAATTTAAATTTAGAGTTTTTTTGACTAACTGCTAACATATGACTTGTGTTATTCAATAAACATGTGGATCTTGTTGAATAATCATGATAGTGAATGATGTGCCATCTACTCGGATTTTTTTTAACTTACCAGAATCACTATGCTTCTGGGAAACGGCATGGAGAAGGGCCCCCAACAAGTCTTCGACAACAGAAGCAGCATTTTTACTATCGACCCAGCTGTCGCTTTTCTCCAAACTAACCAGCAGCAACTGGAACAGTTTAACTTTGACGAACCCGTCTGTGTTCGATTTCAAGATTTTGGTGCAGAGAGTGAATATGGACAGAATGTCTTTATCGGGGACCTTCGAGGGAAAGTTGTTAACGATTGTGTATAAAATATCGACAGCGACTTTGGAGGCATTATTGAAGTTTTTGTTCTTAACGGCTGTCTCGATGAATTGTAGCAGGCCATCGTGAGTGTGGAATATGTGTAGCAAGTAAATATCTGTAAAAAATAAAGATGTTTTCGCTGTTGAATTGAAAAGAGATATTTAGGAAAAATTAGATGGAAAAACCCTTTGGTTTCCTACTTTTTTGCTATTACATAAAACGTTTATTATTATTGATAACGAATAATGAAAAATTTACACACAAAAAAGTATCAATATTGAGCATATAGGTTTTTTTTTCAAACGTTACCAGATATTTGCCACCCCAACCAAATGATGCATGTGCTCGATTTCCATATATTTGTGAAGGGTTTTGATTGATGTGAGAAGTGATAGAATAAAATGGAATTGCAGATCATGCGAATAAAACTTCCATTGTAAAGACAAAAATTTACAAATCTGTAAATCACCTGTCTACGACACCATCAACGACACTACATTAAATAATGCCCATTAACTTGAAATTGTATAGAAATTTCTTTATTAATTGTTATTACCAATTAATTCTCTTCAAATTCTTGTAATATATGGAATATATAAATGAATAAATTCACCTTACTTTGACAATACTATATAAATAATTTTTGGTGGCCACCACTGTTCATTGAAATATATTTCAAAACTATATGTTGCATCAACATTTTTCATGGTCACTTACCAATAACTGAAGAGTCTATTTGCTCTTCTATTAAATTTCTGTTTAAAGTATCTAAAAGACGATGAGTTTCCCGAGGACCGTTTACATCATCGTTTAAAAACGAACTTAGCTCTTTAAAAAAGTATTGAGGGTCGATATCCATTTTACATTTCAGAACAGAAAAATAAATAAAACAACAGTAATAAAATTTGTTAATAATACTACTCTCTATATATTATGTGTTATCAAAAACATGAATCAGCTGGCGCCGATCTGCGAATATTCAAAATATTAGCGCTTTCCATTAGTTTAATCAGTGTTATACTAGTGTCGCACTGCCTTACACTGGTTTGACAGATAAAATAGGGAACACAAACATTTTTTTTATTCTTTCAAATAATTGATGTATTAGTTCTCAGATATCTTAAACAGTGACCACTGATAATATTAAGACTGTTTGATATGGATTTATTTTACGCCAGAGGTTCCAGTTCTTTCTTTAACAACACTGGTGCTTGAAATTGAACATAAAATGTACATTCCTTTGGCTCTGGTTTTATCAAGGAAAACGTTGGTGGATACAGTGATTATATACGTTGAAAGGTAGAATAATTTTCGATGATTTTCAAATCACTTAATGACCAGCAATTGATTGATTTATTCTCACATATTGGTGATTTCATCAGAGCTCATGCAAAGTGAGTTGTTGACTTTTTAGTATTTTTTCAATGGTTTCTTCAAACTAATATTCATATCTGATCTTACATTTACTAATAGTGTTTATGACTTTTTGATTCAACTAACAACTTTGTCTGTTTTCTATGATGTGATCTTTCCAAAATATGAACGCACAGGGCAACAGCTGTCTCTAGACGATTTTATTTAAAAAGTCAGTTGTCGAAAAAGTCGTTCTGGCCATAGGAATATGCCCTGTGCATTACGTCAAAATCGCTGTCATCCATCATTCACAAAAAAATCGGTAAACTATTTTTGGTAATCTTTAAATAAATCTTGTCGTGCGTTTTCCCAGTTTCCCTACTTTTCATCACATTACTCCACACAAAATCAAAATGTCGTCTGCATCAGAAGCCCGAGTCTCAATCACCGGGAAGTTGGGGCTGAAACCCCTAACAGGAAGAAACATTTTATTCTATTATGCACCAGTTCAGGGAGTCCTAAGCTATACAGCCCTTTCAGTGAACGTGATGAATCCTTCCTTGGTCCTGAGGCAAGTGCAAATGTTTTGCAACTAAAGTAAATCTGTGTGAATTTTGATGTTTGTAGGATCTTCCCGAAAAGAGACATAACCAATATCCTGCTGTTTAATACATTGGTTGGATCTGGGCTGTACTTGTTCAACAGGCCCCACTTAAGCTCTCTAGCAACTAGGGAACGACTGATATATAGGTAATTCATCGCAATATTAATGATCTCTCATAACATTGTTTTTCCAGTTCTTTTGGAGCCGTCTCGTTCTCACTAGGCTCTGTGCTCATATGGGCCATAATCCGGAGTCTGGTACCGCAAAACGTAGCCCTCTGCTCAGCCTGTGGCATTGGGTCAGGGTTAGCAATGATAAAAATCGCTCGCTGCTATGTACAACACGTAGACTCGCTTGCGCCAAAGAGTATCTAATCATTTGATTTTCAACTTTTAACTACCAACAATAACTGTAAATTATGTTAGCTGTAATTTCATAATAAATAGTCATTTTTAAAATTGTCAATCTGTCAGTGTCATTTGAGTAGATTTAAGCTTTAAATTCATGTGAACTTGTGGGAATGGCCACAGAAGCGAATTTAACTGAAGAGGAACAATGGGAGCACTTCTTGGAAATGTTTTATTTAGCTGCGACATTCCAGGGTCGAGCTGCTTATTTTTTGATGTCTATTCATGCAGTCAACCCAGGCGTTCTCACACAGTAAGTAAGTACTGTCGTTGAACACTAGTTTTGGTGTTTTTTTTTTGTCTGATTCACATAATTTTTACTTTACTCGTCAGAAATCTGCTGCAACTTGAACTGTGTTGAAGGTTATGAAAATATTGGTTTATTTTTCTAAAAAACAGTATTTATCACAGCTATCGCAATATTTATCGAATTCATTAGATGTACAAGTGGCTTCCTTTCATAACAGTAAATAATTTAAATATTATTGGAGTTTGTCGATCTCTGTTGGCAATATTGAAACTATCACAAAAAAATTTCAATCGCCGTTGGCTCGTTTTTGCTAAGATTTTGAAAGGTTCTTGTTCAGTTGTCTTAGACTAAGGCCGGTGACACACTGCGATTTCCGAGCGGTTTTTTCCAGCGCGGTTTCCGAGCGGAAATTGCCGAGCAAAAATCGCTACAGTGAGTACCTGACAGTGTCCGCGATTTCCTAGCAGTCCGGATTTCTGGCTGGAGGTGGAGTATCTCCTTGTCATCATCTAGTGCCGTTGGCGCCTTCAAAGCAACCACTATGAAGTCTGCTGCTGCTGACATGTTTCATCATCAAATGGTGGTATCCATTAGCTCTTTGGAAGCAGAAGGCTCTCTTGCTGGAAGACGCCGCCCAAGGAAGTACAACGTGCACCGAAAGAGGAAACAGGAAGAAAGGTGCCCCTATCACCCACTATGCTTTATCTCTTTCCAGTTTGTTGGCAAAACCGCGGTCGCTTTTGTCACACAAACAAGGGTGATTATCTACGCTATGAATTGAAGTTTCCACTTCCGTACTCGAATCGCGACTGAAAAACCACTCGGAAATAGCTAACACTCTGGGATCACATTCGTCTACCTGGTTTCTCCCTCTACTTGGTCGCTCTTGCCCTCCGAATGTCGCTTGGAATCCGACGCTCGGTCGACTGTAAGTAAGAAATAGCCGCTGTTAAAAATCGCAAACTCTGTCATGTTCCATTTACATGCAGGGGTTGGCGTAAAAATAAAAAACCGCGCTGGAAAGAGTCGCTCAGAAATCGCAAAGTATGTCACCTTTAATCGACAATATTCCACTAACAATATTCACGTAAACATGGTTATACATGTTCAGTCAGTTACAGGTGTGACATGATTGGCGACACTGATATTTGACGTAAAATTTAAAATAAATATGTAATAACCACAAGTGGATTTATGCAGTATCAACTTTTGTCACAGAACAAAAACAAATTTGCCATCCAACACATGCATGTTCTGTGGTTTTAGTGCATAAAACCTCTACAGAAGGTCAATAGTTAGTTCATATTCGAAAGTGAAGATAAAAGTTGATGCTACAATTCTACTCCTTTAGTACAGCTCTACTACTGTGATTGTAATTTGTACATCTTCAAATATTACTTTGAGGAAATCTGTTGAATGTTGTTTCTTGATACAGTGCCAACTATCAATACGTTTATGGTTTTTAGTTATAGTAAAGATGCATAGAAACCTTGGTGTTTAAACCGATTCGATTTTGTTTTGTCAAAATCTTTCTCTTTATGATAATGGCTTTTGCTTCCATTGAGGCGCATTAAGCCATTTTGTCAAAATCTCTCTCCCAACTTTGTACATGTTGATAGATGAAAAATGAATTGTTTCCAAATGTAAACATGGATGTGCGCTTAGTGCCCCTGTGAATAGGATGCCGAAGTAAGTTAGATCTCTTTTTTTTCAAGAACTGTCTTATTTCATTAAACATACTGAAGTTTAAAGGCCTTCATTTGCACATTGAGACGATATCGTAATTTTTTTTCAATTGTATAATTCGACTAGTTCAAGTCCTTTGAATTTACTGCTGAAAGTGACATTGAACACCTCTAAGACAGGATACAGGTCACAGAACTTGACCTGTCAACATCCATGAAGGGCCACCAGATACGTGGAATATAATTTGTGTCATTAGTGTCAGTTGTCGTGTCAATTGTTCACATGACGTCACTTCAACAAAATTTTATGGAAACTAAATTGAAAATGAATACAACAGCAAATAAAACTAAAAAATGGACAATACAAACATCAAATACATATGATATATGGCAATTGACATTTATGATAAATATACAGAGCTGACAACTTACAAAAATACATGAAAGTCACAGAGTAGTATTACAAGGTATAATAGTTAGTGTTCAAGTGGTTATAACTTACAGCTACAATTGCAAAAAAAGACATTTCACCTTGAATTCACAATTATTGTTACCGTTATTTCATGAATTTTATTTCAATAACATAGTCATAATTATATATTCACATTTATGAATATTTTTGGAGCCATTGGCTTTGCATGACAACACAATTGTATCTTGCATTACTCTTACGTTGGATGTTACCAAAACAATTTCTTTTCTAGAATACTTGGCATTGATCCCTTTCCCTATCTTTGGGCAACCATGATCTACGGCGTTGCTATTATGATCTTCTCGAGACCTTCCATGAGAGTAATCTTCCCGTTAAACAGGATTGCATTTGGGTATTGTATTATGAACACTTTTTTACGCCCATCTCTCGTTATACTTTGATTCGGATTTCCTACTTTTTATTATATTTATATTGCACCGCTTTGACAAAATGGTTAATTCCTACGTTTGTAATCAACTTTGATTGAATGAAAATTGACCTTATTAAGTGATGCGATCCCATGGTTGCCAACTGCGGTAAAATAATGACATTTGACATTTGCTAATGAATAAATAACCTATCTTTCTGAGTTTCTTCTGCATTTTCATTTTTGGGACATAATTGGAACAGACCATTTTACATTTCTTCATAGCTGATTCTTCATTATGAAGCCCCAACTTCCTTTAGGACGACTGGACATCTCTTTTCGACTTTATTCTGAAAATCAGTTTCTCATTTAACAAAAATGAATATGCAGAAGGAACTCAGAAAGATAGGTTATTTATTTATTAGCAAATGACAAATTGTCAAATGTTATTATTTTACCGCAGTTGGCAACCATGGGGTCGCATCACTTGATAAGGTCAATTGATATTTCAATGAAATCGGGAGGGAAGTTATCAACAAATTCAGATATAAGTATGAATAGGAAGAATAACCGTGGGAATGACGATGTGATATTATTTTGATTTGATAACTACTTTTACCCCGATAATGGTATTAGATGTAGACACTTCTGAATCATGTTAACCTCAAAATTCAAATCACTTTCAGCATGCTGGGGTCGCTGATGTTCAACCATGCAAGTATGGTGTGTTTCAAATACTTATGTACAGTTTTTCCCGACAGACCTTTTATGCGAACCTTCATGGGATTTTTGAGCGGACGACTTATGATGGTCCATCTGTTAGCGTTCCTTTACCATATAGATACCAGAACTAACATTCCCGATTTGTACGTGACCAGAGATGTTGCCTTTGAAGGAATGTATTCAGTTTACTGACAACATTATACTTTTTGGATCTTTTTCGTGTTTTCTCTCAAAGTTGACTTGTATAGAACTTAAAAAATATCGTACAAGATGCGTAGAATGTAATGAACGAAGCTGTCATTGCCGCAAGATGGTGCTGCAAACTCAAGGAAAACGAATAATATAAAATGCTATTTTGAAAAATATTACAGTAAAGGTAGCGGAAGAATACGAAGAGAAATGATTTCAAGATTGAATTATGTGAAAATGAGTGAGATGAGGATTCGGCAGGGAATAACGTGTTTGTTCTTTCACTACTAAGTTCTTCGTTGATATCATCTCAACATGAAAGTGATATTATCTTTGGTATGTCCAATTATTGATGTAGGTAAATAATATCCGAGCAGTTTCAAAGCCGGTCTATAACAAATGGTTATTATGAATATTCACAACCAAAATTGAATGTTTTGAGTATATAGAACTCTTCATTCCAATAATTGATGTTTCCCTTTAGTTTGACGTTCAGCTTATTAAGTCTAGAAGCCGCCCACGTCGAGGTCAATTTTGACTCACTAGTTTTTGATTGTTTTTCTTCAGTCTCAAAAACCTTAGCATGCTTTGCTCATCAATCTTTCATGGTAAAGATAATCTATTTCTCAATTTTTCGTGGTAAAGAGGTAACATCTTTCCCCATAAATATAGGTATAGAAACCATAAGCAAATGGGTATTTTTGTAAACATTTCTGGCAAAGAGTAATCTTCGATTCTGGTTTCAAAGTCAGTCAGAGTATAAATATTGAAACTTTTTCGAATTTTGTACATTTTATTTAAAAAATATCCAAATATCATAGAAGAAAATAAAGGTATGTCTATGTATATCACATTTTCTCCCGCGATAAATTTCTATTACCTAAAATGATATGATTGACAACTGTGTTCTATACATACAAAAAAAAAGTTTTTTTTATTCATGCTTAAATTCTACCAATCTCCAATAAAGAAAAATTTGGTAATCAGAGCACTACTGATTCATATCTATAATCTCATAAATAACGGATAAAATCAGGCGACTTCAAATCTCATCGTTTTAGGCCATCGGCAAGCAAAACAGCAAGTTTCCAGTAGAATTTTTCCTATATAAAATGCATATCTTGGTGATTGTTAGGGTGTTCTTCAGAGTTGAGGTGATCTTCGTCTGCTCCTCCGTGGTCCCCTCCGTGATTATGTTCATGGCCAACTAGAAAAAAATATATATAAATGTAAATTACTTAGGAGTATTTATTTGTGTCGATAATTTAAGACCTAGGTAGACTGTGGCAGATGAGTGGCAGTATGACCGTGTGCATTTCAAATTTAACTGAGACCGAAAACACGGAACGCCATTTTTCAGTTTGACAACTGACGCAGAACCGAAACTGAAAATACTAAGAGCACCATAACGAAATTAACATCCGACTAATACAGCGACAAATGAAGCTAAAGCACTATTTGGGATGTTTAGATTGATAGATTGAAATCTGACATTAAGTTTAGTCAAATGCTATTCCGAATCCGCCAAATTTGACATTTTTTGAATACATTTTCATAAATCAGGTCACCACTGGCAAGTTTCAATAAATGCCTTAAAAAAGGTTGTCCAGTTTTCAATTTTTTATCCTTTTACCAAATTTTAACACTCTACTCTACTGTCACTTCAAAATTTCGGCTCGAATGATTTGAATAAATTAAAAGATCTATTAGAAATCAATTAAAGATAAAACTTTGAAAACGAGTATAGATTATGCCATGTTTGAACCCGCTATCGGTCATTATATAAACAATTTATAGTCTTGTTTTCGTGTTAGTTAATTACATAATACTTATTATTCATTGACCTGTTACTAGAAAAAATACATCACTTGTTGCAGGGTTTTCAATTCAATCAGACACTGACCAAAACTTTTCTTTCGTCAAGAGGTAAATGAATAGATATTTAAATGAAAGGTTCGCTTCTTTTATTGTCATAATTTTTCTGTGTATTGTATGAGATTCATATTGAGGTCAATTATATTTTGATCAAGTATTAACTGGACTCGCTATCAAAGAAAACAAAATCCTGGCTAGTAAGCCGTTGTCGAATGGACCTTAATTATTAAACATATTGTCTGTTATTGCGCTTTGGAATAATAGCCACGTTGTTTCATTTCCATTAGTTTTTCTACTTATTTCGGATGCCCAAATTCATATGTATTCTTGCTTTACCTTTACTGCATTATTTTGTAAAATTATATTTTGTATAATTTGTGTTTCCTTGAGTTTTGCAGCGCCATCTTAACGGTAATGAGAGCGCAGTTTGAGATTTATGATGTTTTCTGAATGTTATTTATGATAGGAATGTGTTGAAAAAACGCATAAACAAATACATTGACATTTGTGTTCAAATTCAACATTTAACATTTGATTTGGTTCGATTTTTTTTTTATTTTAGCAAAGTGTATATCCATAAATGCCAGGAAAAATGTAGGTATGATGTTCAGAATTGGAAAATAATAAATATCAAAATTTTAAAATCTGCTGCTAGAGATTACACAAATGGTTGATGATATACCTATTATTATTCTAATCTTAGGGGATTAGACCTGTTAGATCATTCTTGTCATTAAAACTCATTTACCGGGTGCATTGATCTCAAGTGGCGTGAATGGTAATCATGTGTATGACGGTCTCATCAGGAAAGCATATTTACTATAAATTAACTTTCAGTTATAATTACTATCGAAAGTGAACGTGAATTCGACGCTACTATTACTTTTATGATATAATTGAACGTAGAAACTACTCAATGATAATGCGTTCAAAAATAGATAATAATGTTATACCGGGTGTTCCAAGAATACCTACGAAAAAAATCTCATATAAAAGTTATACAGTGCCAAAAAAACACGTTTTGATAATAATGTCAGATGGACAAGAAGTCGTATTTATTCGGTATCTAAACGTTACTAGACTGTTATTTGAATGGAAAAATGAAAGTGTTGTACAGTGTTCTACAGAGAACTACAAAATTTATCAAACTAGATATCACAAGCCCCCCTCCATTTGAGTAGACAACTTTTCATCAAAAAGTACTGGAAACGTTATTTTTTCATGTAAATTTTGCCTGACATTGATATACGTCCGCTCTGTCCCACAGGACCACCGTATCTAAACCTCCTAGATTTTTGAAAAATATGTTTCCAGCTCCACTCAAGGGAACAATTTCATACCTGCTTGATCACCAAAGTCTTTATAATTTATAATGTTAACCCATTTTCGAAAAATACGTGCCTCGAAAATACAAAATCGGCAGCTACGAGGTTGAAAACGATCCCAAGGTGAACGTTCCCAATTGGCAGACCGATCGCCGTGCTGCCAAGGAGACCTACATAAATCAAATATGTACTTTTTCAATTGTTTCATTAAAACAAATGAGTCTCGTAATATCGGGGGCAAAAAGTGAATGTTCTGACGGCATTCCGATAGCTTGATTGAGCAGAGTTAACGCTGATACGGGCGCGCATTGGTGGAGTAGAAGGATGGCTTTTGTTTCAATGAAATGAATATTATACATGTTTCTCATAGAAAAATAGTCGGTGGATAATAATAAACACTGCGGTTTTTCTCACTTGCACAAATTTGTCCGATATAATTCAATGTCTGTCTTTGTATTAGGCAGCGAAATAGTTGTTTTCGAGCTGACATTCACCATATACTCCACTATAAGGTAGGGACGTTAGGTGAGGTGATTTTTTTTTCAAGAAATACTGTTTTGACCCACGATTATTTTATCGAGAGTATATGAATGAAAAAATGAAAATTACATTAACTCTTGTGAAAAATAACTGGCTAGATTTATTCTAGCTATACTCTCACAAGGTTTGAAACGTAATGAATGATGTTACAAAATGCAATGTTTCACATCGGTAGAGAAGGGGGTCAGATTCGTCATTGCAGGGATAGACAGAGGTTTCGATTAACGTAGGTAGGAAAGGTCATAATAGCGGGTAATTCCCAAGATAAGGTACACAAAGAACAATTAAGGAGTTGAAAATCTAGCTATCTGTAGCTTACAATATTTACGTGAAACACACTTAAATATACGGGTTGCTTGAGAAAAAATACTCGGGAATATTGAATTTTATTTGTATAAGTGGATTAGAAAAGACCCGTACATTACATAGTAGGTAATTCCCAAGATAAGGGATACACAAAACAATTAGGGAATTGAAAATCTAGCTATCTGTAGCTTACAATATTTACGTGAAATAAGACTTTAATATACGGGTTGCTTGAGAAAAAATACTCGGGAATATTGAATTTTATGAGTATAAGTGGATTAGAAAAGACCCGTACATTAGAAGACCAACTGGAAAACCCTGATTGGGAAACCCTTG